TTCTGATTCATATCAGCAGGTGTGATAGAAACTTTGCAATTTTCTAACTTAAATCTCTTCAGAAGCTCAAGTTCATACTTCATCTGATGCAAAATGATTCCTTTCTCAGAGTACATAAATTCCATTCCCTAGAAAGAAACTCATTTCCCCAAGATTTGTCATCTCAAATGCATTCATTAGAACCTTCTTGAACTTAACTATTTCTTGTTCAGAGCTTCCTGTTAGCAATATGTCATTAACATATAAACATACCAGAATCATATTACCTTCTGAAGTGCGCTGAACATAAACACCATACTCCATCTCACACTTCTGAAACCCTTGTTCTTGGAAAAACTAATCAATCTTCAGATTCCAGGCTCTGGGCACTTGCTTCAATCCATACCAAGGCTTTGTGTAATTTGAACACCATCCCTTCCTGGTTTTTTTTCTCAAATCCAGGAGGTTGTGACACGTATACCTCTTCTTGTAATGGACCATTCAGAAATGCAGATTTTACATCTAAATACATCAACGGGCAATTCCCGTTAGCAGCTATTGCAATCACTAGTCTGATTGTTTCATGTCTCGTTACAGGTGCAAACACTTCAAAGTAATCCATCCTAGACTTCTGTAGAAAGCCTCTTGCTACTAATATTGCTTCGTGTTTGCCAATTTATCCATCTGGCTTTAGCTTCTACTCAAAAACCCATCTGACGTTGATGACTTTCTTGCCTTTTGGAAGTTCTGTCAGCTTCCAAGTCTTGTTTCTCTCTATAGCATCAAGTTCTTCTTTCATGGCCTGTAACTAAACTTGTTGCTTAAGAGCCTCTTCCGTACTCACGAGTTTAGAGTCTAATAATATTGCACACTGAATAACTTCTCCTTCAGAGTCTACTTCAGTGTCTTGCAACATGTCAAACTCTGCAAATCTTCTTGGGATGCTTCTGACTCTTTGTTGCCTCTAAACTGGAACTCCAGAACCTTGGACACCAGAACTTTCCCCTTCAGAAGCTCTTGCTTTAGAAATTGGACTTTCTCCAAAACCTTGACTGTCTTCAGAGTCTGGATAATTCCTACCAGCTTCAAAAGTTGGATCACCCATGCCTTCATAAGTTCCACTTTCAGAATCATGATCATCGTCAAAGGATAAATTTCCTTCAGAAGCCCCTCCTTCATAAGGTTCATCCTTAGAGTCATGATTTCCACCATAAACATGATCATATTTAGAAGCTTGTCCTCCAGAACCTACATCTTCAGAGTTTTCCCTTCTAGAAGCATGATCACCATCATATTCTGGATCATCATCAAAATCTGGATTAGAATCAGATTCATTATCTGACTCACCTTTAGAGTTTCCTAAGTCATCATCTTCTGACTCTTCTTCAAAAGCTTCAATGTCATCTTCTAATTTTGACTCATATTCAAACACCCCTCCAGAGTCAAAATATTCAGAGTCATCTTCTTCCCCTTCAGAATCAGAAAATGACAATTTCACCGGTTCCTCATCAGATTCATAAGTCATAAATAGCACAAGTTCTTCATATGAGTCTCCTCTGGCCATTTCTGCTTCTTCTTTGTTTGACCAACAATCTTTGGTATAATGACCAAAGTTCTTGCAACAGTAACACTGAACATTCTTCTCGTCAGACTTCTCCTTTCCCTTCTGGACATTCTTCTGCCTATCAGAGTTTGAAACTTCTGACCTTTGACCATCATTAGTTTTCTTCCTGGCTTCTGACCAAGTTTGCTTCTAATACTTCTTACCAGAAGTTACTTTCAGAGCCTGTTGCTCTACTTCCCTCCTAGAAGTTCTTTCAGTCATATGCAACTTATGCGCCTCTAGACTACTTTGCAGCTCTTCAACTCTTATGGTGCTCAGATATTTGGAATGTTCAATTGCTACCACAATATAATCAAACTGAGAAGTTAAAGATCTCAATATCTTCTTAATAATTACTTATTCAGAAAGAGTTTCTCCATAGACTTTCATCTCATTAGTGATCAGAATCACTCTAGAGATATACTCAGAAATCTTCTTGTTGTCCTTCATGTTGAGATTCTCATATTGCTTTTTGAGAGACTGAAGCTTCACCTTCTTCACTAATGCGTCACCACCGTAACATCTGACCAGTGTGTCCCACGCATCCTTTGCTGTTTCAGAATCAGCAATCTTCTCAAACACATTCGCATCCATACATTGATGGATGTAGAACAATGCCTTATGATCTTTCTTCCTTAGTGCCCCCTGTGTTATCTTCTGTGCCTTTGTTGCGTCTGCTTCTAACAGATCATAGTCATTGGTGACAAGATTTAACACATTTTGAGAGTCAAACAACACGCGCATCTGAATCTTCCAACGATTCCAGTTTTTGCCATCAAATATTGGAAGCTTGGAATGAATATCGATGCCGTTTCCGTTCATCTTCTACCATGTGCAATTTACACAGAAACTTAATAGTAGTGGTTCCCAAATCCCCAGAATAAGAAAGAACGATTATCAATCACACAACACCTCACTGTTCTCTCGTATTTCCCGTGGATTTCTAACCGGAGCTCTAGATACCAATTGTTGGTGCACAAAGGAGAGATGAAAGACAAAATAAATATATTTAATGACGGCTAAAAAATAAAAAATAATAATTTACAATAAATTATATTGACCTACCTCACTAGACTATTTATATATAAAATTAGAGTATAATAAAATTCTAAATATCCTTAACAAAAATATAAAAAGATCTAAAAAATATTCCTAAAATATAAATTAATATCAAAAAAATATTTTTAAAATATAAATTAATTCTAAATAAAAAAATAAAATAAAACAATCACTAACCTTATAGAATTGATAACGAAAGAGTTGGAGTTAAAGGTAGAAAAGAATCAATTGAAAGATAAATTAGTATTACTAAAACTAGTTAAATAACAGGAGTGATGATGAAGATAAAATAAATTCATAAAGATTTCTCTTCTTGAAATAGAAGAAAGAGAAGAAATAGAGTTTGTTCATTTTCTTTTTGTTTTTCTAATGATTCTTTTTTAGAAAATTTTATAATAATTTTTTTATATAAATAGGATATTCTCTACATTATCGAATTAAATTGGAAGAAACTTTTACTTATTAATTTTATAATAATTCATATACAATATTTATGTTATCGAGAGAATTAATTAAAATATATATTTTATAGGTTAAAACATAAAAATGATAATGGTTGATGATAGATTATTACTTCTGTTTTATAAAGAATGATTTATCTAAAATAAAATAATATTTTAAAATAAATGATTTATTTTAATTTTTAATATATATTTTATAATTTTATAATTTAATTAATTAAATTTATTATTTTCAAAACATAATTAAACGTATAATAATAAAAATATTATAGTACGTGGAGAGAGTAATTATTTAATACTAAATGCCTCTTATCAGTTCGCCCTGCAAAATTTACGATCATATCCAAGTGTCGATATCAAATCAAATTTGTGTTCAAGCAAGTAGCATTAGAGGGACCTACTTGAAAGAGACGTCCGCGAAAGGAGGACCCACATATATGGCGTCATGGTCACCCACCTCCTTAACTATGTTTTAATCCGATCATTCCCTACCACAATAATTTAAGTATTAAAATTGAAATGCATATATTTAAGGATGATAAACCAGCCTATTCTATCTATTTAAATTGTTTTATAATAGTCCGTAAAAAATAAGATATATATTTGAGACTATAGATCTAAAATTTAAATACTCTCGAAACACTCTCATATTTAAAAGTAAGGTAGAATGAGAGAGGACGATTATAATTACGATATTTTTTAAATTAAAAAGTATATATATATATATATATATATATATATATATATATATATATATATATATATATATATATATATATATATATATATATATATATATATATATATATATATATATATATATATATATATATATATATATATATATATATATATATATATATATATATATATATATATATATATATATATATATATATATATAAACATGCAAAATCCTATGATTGAATAAATATATTTCTTTTGTTTTAAAATAATTTTCATCTAAATAAGTAAAATTTATTTTAAAATAATTGTCATAATAATAATAATAATAATTTTTTTAATTGTGTTATTTTTTTATTCTGAACATTATTTTTAATAATTAATAAAATTAATTTTATAAAAATATAGTATCTTATGATAATATTATTATATTTTTTAATATGTATGTAAAATTTTAAATAACAATTATTTAAAAAAAAATATTATAATATTTAAACTTAAATTCTTATCACGTCTTGCACTAAAAATACGAATAATACAGACACGCTCAAAAGATTAAATTCGTTTTTGCCAACCATAATCATGTTATTTCGTATTAAAAAATTTAAAAAATAAAAAATTGTGTTACAATTTACAAATTCGTTTTTTAAATTATTCAAACAAATATTCTAGCATCATGAACAAATATTGTGAAAGAAATGAATGCTTATAAAATAAATATTTCTCAGGGCGGGCCCCACCTATCAGTATCACCGTCCTTACAGACCGCTGTCGTTTTCAAACCAGACGTGGCATTTCCTAATGTTATATCAGAGCTGACGTGGCAGAGAATCCCCACGAACCACAAACCACTGCAAGTGGAACTCAAACAAATACCAAAAACTTATTTTATATTTCATTTCATGTCCGCCACGTCAGCATTATTTTCAATTTCTCATACTATTTATGTAACAACATACCCAATTATATCTGTTTCGGGCATCTCTTACTACCACCTGTTCAAGATATTTTTTCTCTCTCTAAAACTGTTTCTCTCTCTAAAACCCTTTACAACGCAAACTTCATTTATTTTTCAATCTCTTGTATCTACTGCGTGATTTCTCGATAACGATAACGATAAGGATTCTACGCATTTGATTCCGATTTTTCGACGCGAGCTAGGGTTACGGATTTTCGTTATTTTCTTCGGATTTTATTCGGATAATTTTCTTGACATGGCTAATCGTAGAGGAAAAGATTTGATTCATAGCGACGGATCGGATATCAATTTCGACGATTCTTCGTCTGTGGAATCAGGTGGTGGAATCGTTGGAAACAGTTCTTCGACGGGAGATGACGGCGGTTCGAGGAGTGAGGTTGGACTTACGGAGCGGTTGACGGATATTATTGTCGATGAAGGCGACGGCGATCTGTTGATTCAGCAAACTAATTGTGAAGACCGGTTGATGGATTGGCTGCAGGCTCTTGATTTGCAAGTTATTGGAGCGTGTCGAGCTGACGAGCGGTTGAAGCCTTTGTTGAAGATGAATGCTGGCTCTGGAGTTTCTGAAGATCCGTTATTGGCTCAGTTGATTCAGGTATCTCGAGGCTTTGGTTTTGGTGAATTCTTCGATGTGATCGTGTGATGGTTGTGATAAAGTATCTTTGTGTTTTGGCAGCATTTTGAGCCATCGGAGGTTGGTATGTTGGCTAGATGCTTTTGCTTGCCTCTTGTTTCTATCCGCGTTGGGAAGATCAACAAGGACGGAACTCGCCTATGTCCTACTGCTAATAGGTAATAATATTATTTGAAAACTGTGTATATATCTTCCTATAGTTATTACCTTTCAAGGTTGCAAGCTGAATAAAACATCAATGTTGACCCTAAATTATCACTCTCCCTAAGTTTGCCCGTTAACTGTATATGATATCCATCAATTTAGTCCCTAAACTGTGTAAAAATCCGTCTATTTAGTATTGACATCTTTACGGTAGATACTAGATGGACATGTTTTATATATTTTAAAGGCTATTTACTATATTTACACAGTTCAGAGACTGAATTGGAGAGAATGTGATAATTTATGAGTCTGTTTAGCAACTTATTGTTATCATGCATTCTATAGGTATTGAATATATGTTAATATTTACTATTGCATTTAGCATCATGCAATGCGGATATTTGTATACTCGGTTTGCTTGATTAATTAAATAATTCTTAAATCATTAGAGGCAGTTCAAAAAAATTACTAAATCATACAAATATAAATAACAATAGTTGATGTACGAGTTGGAAACAACCAGAAAATTTGAGCGGTGTCTTCCGGATACTCGGGCATTCTGCTTAATAGGGAAGGATGACCGTTTTTTGGCATGGTATACAACTGATATGCTTGTTCACCACCCTGGTTGAAACGCAAGTATAGGACTAAAGCCTCCTATCTATGGTAGTAGCTGTTGCAGCAACATCTAAGGAACATGATATGGATCCTTTGTAGTTTCTTTTGTTGGGGTAGAGCAAAGAGGGATGATTTTTTGATAATCTCAAGGTTGGGAGGGAAATATGGGAGATGGCTAATACCTTATGGATAGTCCGGGAATACTCATTACTCAGGCTTATCCCCCAGAAGAGCTGATGCTACTTAGTTAGAAACTTCTGCTAGTGAGGAGTATTATGATTCTTATTATAAACTTAAAGAGTTTTGTGGCAATTTTTTCCTGCTGGCCTACTAATATTTGTTGGCCACCTTTTTTCTGAGATAAGGTATGACCTATTCATTAGAAAGAACACCACCATAGATGTTTAGATTATGTATATTCCCTCGGCTAAAGGCACTCTGGGCTGCGCAGGTGCTGAGGTTCAGTTGTGGACCATCTGATTCTGGGAGAGAGAAGTGGTCAGAAGTATGCCTGATTTGGCCGATTGCAATCCTTATTTTGTAGATCTAGATTTTTATAACAATTAGATTTAATGAGTTTATTTACACTGAATCTATCGTCCCACAGCCATGAATTAATTAATTTTTTATTAGTTCTGTTTAAGTTTAAGAAGTTAAAATTCAAATTTAATAATGTTGTTTTTCTTGTAGACTATTCCTTCACTGGCTTCAATTAACATGGACATAATTTCTTGTATGGCTATCGGCAAATTTATAGCTGTGGTTGATTTATCTACTTGTTATACTTATAGCCAATTACTCCTCATTTTGTTATACTTTGTTGCTGTTCTGAAAATTGAAATTGCATTTACCTGTCTCAGTCTGTTATATACCAATTAAGATATCTATCATTTATCAACTTTGCTTTCCATTTCTTTCTACTGACTGTCTGCAGCTGCACAATGTGAAAATCCCTTTGTGGTTGAATACTTTTTTATTTTTCTTTACTTGTTGTAATATGATCTTATTGAGAAATGTGGTTAACCTATTGCAATGTGTAGTTTGTTTTAATAATCCTTAGTAATAACTGGAGTCTGTAGTTTAGTTCATTGATGGTAATATGTTCTTCCAAGTAAAAATGTCTTTTGACTTGTAGGTAACTGGACGTATTCTATTATGATCTCTGAAATAAGAGGAAGTAAAGGTAGTTTCATGATCCTATATTATATATATTGCTACTGTTCGGATTTTTAGATCATTTCCCTCTAGGTTTGACCTATATTATATGTATTGCCACTGTTCATATTTTTAGATCATTTCACTCTAGGTTTGACGCTTTTGTATGGGAGGGAATTACTAATTGACTAGGCTAGTATGCAAACTTGTGTCATGTCATATATTTGCATATTCTTAGTCTGTTATATATTGTGTACTTGATATACCATGTATTGTCTGCCTTTATATGTATATGATATTCCATGTTATACATGTTTAAATTGAGATGCTTGACATGTTTTTATGGTAAACTCTTTCTCCCTCAAGATTTGGCATTGATATGATGTGGATTTTGTTTGGTATGTGATTTTGTTTTTTTTAATGTTTGTTCTAAACTAGTTAAAAAAAGATTTAGTAGAAAGTGGTTAGGACTATCTCCCTACGAGGAAGATTTTTTGTATTTACAATGGTGAAAAGGGTTCAATTTGTCAGTCTGAAAGGTTGACCGTTTCTTAAATATGGGGCAGTATTTCTATTTCAAATATATCTTCTGGTCATAAACTGATATGTTCAGTATTCCATTACAAATTAGAAATATATGTGCTTGTAAGATCTCAGTGATTTTCAACTTCTATTAGGAACTTTATACCCTAGTGTTTTAGGCATCCTAATTAGAAGGGAAATAGTGTTGGCAAATTAACTTCGACAAATTCATTTGGTTTTCTGTACCTGAAAACATTTTTCGTTATATTTTATGTTTCTAGTGATTGAAACATTGTCCGCTTTTGTTGGGAGAAAATTACTAGTACATTTATTTTAAAATTTTTGTTTTTATTTGTAACTTAAACATATATGGTTCATTGGAATATTTTTTTAAATAAAATTATTGTGGGCTAAAGTTTTGGACTTTGAAGGCTCTGCATCACAATTTCTGTTTAAAAGTGTAGCATTAATTTTTTTAATTTCGTGTTATTTATCTTTTTAGTACATTTATGATACTTTTATAACGTAACATCTCATCTTTACTTGTTCACAGGGGTAGCTTTACACTTGCTCTACTTCCAAGCTCTGATCTTCGTCTCTCATTCATTGGGGATGATGGTAAAACAGAGAGATTATTTACTCTTTCTAGCACATCCCAATGCTCTGCTGTTGTGGTTGAGGGAATCCCATCTGACAGCTCCGGTCGATCCTTCCATGTTACTACTCCTGATGACAGATCTTTTTTCTTCTGGTGCTCTGAAAAGTCTAAACTGCTAGGAGTTGAATTACTTGCAAAGGTAATTTTTGGTGTTCTTACCTGTTAACTAGTCTCCAATCTTTCCAATTTCTCATCATTTCTGGCAATGTTTTGTATATTTCCATCATTGATTATTGATATTTTGTCATCAAACTCATTTTCCTATAAACCAGATGAAGGATTTACTCAAGAGGAAACCCTCAATTGCTGAATTGAGTGGTATTAGTAAGTCACGGCTTGATTGTTTTGCTACTCAGCTTCGTGCTTTTCTTGTGGGGTCAACAGCTGGAGGGAGTCATGATGGTTCAGCTTATGCTTCAATGTCTGCCAATTCCACAACATACTGTGATGTTGCCTTTGAAAATTCACCCTCTTCATCAAAATTTCCTCGATCTCGACATATTGTACAGACAACAAAGGGAGATTCAGTGCTTTACCAGAGTATTCTTAGTCCAAGGTCAAGTTCTTTTAAAGAGGTTCCGCCAAGAAACTTGTCTTCCCATAGGATTGCTGCTAGGGAGAAGATTAAGCGCCGCGGTGAAAACCAGCAGCTAGCAGCTGACAACTTGGATTTATCATCCACTTCTGATCACGACAAAGCTTTGGAAGTAACTAAAACTCATGCATTCTCTCCAAATTTTATGGGATCAGCAGGAATGTTTAGTGTTCCATCAAGCCTTGGAGCGGGTGGGGGTGGGGGTGGGGAAGTCCCACCTGTGGCGTCGCCTCTTTTTTCTCCCTACTATTGTTGGTGTCCACCTGGGATTTCTTCTACCTTTCCATCAATTGCAGCACTTCCACAATCTCCCATGTCATTTACTGGATCACAGCCACTTGCCTCTGGGACCTCTCTACTACCCAACACCTTCTCATCTAGCCTGTTTCAACCAATGCAGCCTCTCAATCTTGGTACTTCAATGGACTTCCCTCCGTTTTTTCCCGAACCTCTAGTCAGAATGTCTTTACCATCTTCTCAACAGATTCCCATTTTCACACCACTAATGTGTGATCCAATTGTTCACATCCCAGTAATTGATATCTGTTCTTCGGGGCAGGGCTATCTTGTGAGTGCTGGTCCTGCAATGTCAACTAGTATTCCACAAATGCATCCAACTCTCGTGAACCCACTAATTTCTGAATCTGATGCTGTGGTGAAAGGTGCAAGAGAGACTCTAAGGTTGCTGATTAGTGGTTCCAGCCAGGGTAACCAACAACAGGTTATGATGAACCCATTACCAGTAATTTTGACCAATCTGGATGAAAAACAAAACAATGTACTTGTTGCTGGCAGCCGTGGGCTTTACACAGGAACTAGAGATATAAATGTTATTGCAAACAGCATTGCTGCTATGGGATTAGTATCATTATCTGGGGTATCCTCCAATGGAGACAATGAAGGTGATTCAGAGGTATGTGGCAACTTTGGGATTTTGGAAGCAATGAAGAAATCAAAAGACGCAGGTGGTGCCTTTTCGGACGAGGGCGGACCGCCCTCTTTAGATTCCAAGTAGTTACTGTTCGGACTTTTATTTTATTTTTCCATTTGCTGATCCCTCCCTTGTCCAGAAAATGTAGATATGTGCTGTAGCCCTGTTGAATGGAGTTAGTGCAAGTTCAATGATTCTCCTCCTTTATTGATCTTAAATTGGTTAGAAATCTTCAATTGACCAGAAGTCTGTTATTGACCCATGGTAGTAATGTCAAATCAAGGATTCACTTAAAAAATACTGTAATTGCAAAGATTAGTTGCTTTGATCACCTAATGAAATAAAGTAGTGCAAATTTCTTGATTTTTGAGCCGTGATCTCATGTAGTATGCCTTAATTGATAAGAAATCCTTCATGGTTACTCTCTGGTCTATAGTAATATCAAGTCGAGGATTCCACATAAGCAACAGAACTTTTGAAGAGCATCTGTGGATAAAGAGGTGATGCAAACAGGCCTTACGTAATCTATTGGGAGATTGAATGGAATAAAAAATTGTCAAAACCACTCCCTAAACACTTTCTAGTTGAACATTGACGCAAATATCTTTGCTAGTTGAGATGGAGAAGTGGGGGAGGGTATCTTTGCCAGTTGAGAGTGTAAAAGCGGGAAGGGGGTTTTAAATTAAAGGAAAGAGGAAAGGGGAGGGTATTCGATCTCCGAACTAAAAAACATTACTTAATGATTCCCTAACTTCCCTTCAGTTCAATCATTTGATCCCTTTTGTTAGTTTGACTGAAAAAATGTTAATTATGTTTGAGGTGATGACATAAACGTGAGGGTTTTGTTTTTGGGGGTTGGGATTAAAAATCCCCGTAAATTGTTAATAATGTATAAAAAAGAAAGACAATTTTTTCTCCTTTGACCACGTCAATTAACCTCTATATTCACCTTCATCCACTCTTCTGCCATCGATTTAAAACCACTGATTCACATTCACTTTCCATCAATTTTTCACAACCAAAAACAATACTTCATGAATCTATAACACCAATTCAAAACCAGTACACATTCCTTTCAATTTTAAATTATTATACCAATTTCAACTTTTATTGAATCCAAAACAATTCATCATACCAATTTCAACTTTTATTGAATCCAAAACAATTTCAACCTGAAGAACACTAACTTTTTCCAGGGATTCAAATCAAAATTAAATTGTATTAAATTTTCCAGTAACTTTTAACAAATGCATACCATATGCACAAGTGACATGAATCTTATGAACAACTTCAAACAAAACCATATTCATTCTAATTTCCAACATTAAGTTTAACCCCACAACCACCCTTACTTCAAAAAAATCACAAATAAAACCAATACTCTTAATAACAAAAACTCACAATCCACCCTGCCTTCATATTTATCAGATAACAGTAACACAAATCAAACATTCCCATTACAATCATTGTACATGGCATCTACATAACCATGATTAGATATTAGATACTGTTGTACTCCAATTTTTGCTCCTAAGATCCCTTCATCATACCATATTGATTCAATCACAAACAAGATCACACTAGGATTTTTAGTTATCCTCCCTATCTCTAGTCTTACTCTTTGAGGAATCACCAAGCACCTTGACTTGTTTTTCTTTTGTGATCATGTATATTTTGTCTTGATTTTTCTTTTTAATTAATAAAATATAATGTTGGTTTGTCTTACTTGTTGCTAATGTAGGTAAAGACAATGGGGTTTAACAAGTTACTCCATGGGCTCATGAGTTTATTTTTATGCCCTAGTCAATAAAATTTGAGAAGTTCAAACCTCACCATTGAAGTTGTTTTGGGAGAAATGACATGACAAGGTTATTTTGGTTCACCACATTTCAAGGTTATCAAATTTGATTCAAAAGTATAAGGGGTTGATTGGAGGAGTTGTCATGCTTGCACAAGGCTTTGTTCCCATTGGTCACAAGTGCATATTTCTCTCAACTTTTAAGATATAGAAGTGGTTTCGGTGGCTATGAATTCTCATTTTCATCCTCAACAACTTCTATTTACAAAGCATTTGTGTTGGTACAAGAAGTTTGTTCAAAATTGTCAAAGTTCCTCAAGGCATTTTTTTGATCTAGGAGCTAGGATTTTGAACTTCAAAGAAGTATAACTTGCTCATCTTTTGATATTTTTGAGTGATTTTAAAGACATCCTACTCTTCAAAGGACTATCACAATTACTTCAAAAGTTTCAAGGAGTTTTCATGTGGAAGAAGTTTGATGGTGAAGAAAGATTACAAGTCTTCCAGATAAACCCCCAATTTCTCATGTGTGACTTTAAATGATCATAACTTGGTCAATTTTTATCATCTTGAGTTCATTTTTTCTTTTCAAAATGATCTTGAGGATGTGAACTTCATGCCTTCTTTTATATGCAAAGTGAGAAAATGCATAGAAGATGTCCTAAGGATACAAAAGATTATAGGTTATTTCATGATTTTTTGCCAACTTCAACAACTCATAACTCTCTCAATTTTTGGAGTTTTTGAATGGTTCAAGTTTTAAAATGTCATTAAAGAGGTCTATTTCATGCCATCTTTTTTGGTCAAGAGCAAATTTCAAGTGGAAGGCCATGTTTGGATGTAATATATTATAGGTCACTTTTGAAGGAAAAATTGAAATATTTCTAAGTATGAAAAGTCAACTTCTTTTTTCCAACTTTGACTCAATGCAACTTTTAGCTTAAGCATCCATTTGATTTCATTCTTTTTCCATTACAAAGCTTGTAACCTTATCTTTCTAAAGCATCAAGAATCATGTCTTAAGACCCCTTGAACTGAGAATGCCATTGAATTGAACTTGGTAACTTGGAACTGAAGTTTCTCCATAAGTCAGAATTTGAAATCCTTGTTTTGGCTTCTAATCATAAGTTTTCCACGTTTTTTTGCCTCTAAACATATTTAGTGGATTTCCAAAATTGATTAGCACAACAAAACATGTGTTTTGGATGAGTTTCGATCAAATTAGAAGTCACACTTTTCTTATTTGTAACTTCACACGGTTTCTCTCCAAACTTCATGATTTCACACGTTTGGATATTTCATTTGATTCCCTATAAACAGAGGGTTATCTCCCATTTATTTCCTCAAGTTTGGATAGCCAGAATCACCATGACAAACTTGTTCTATAACTCAAAATCTTCAAAATCTATTCTCAAGCCTTTTTTAACTCATTTTTTTCCATCAATTCACCTTCCTTGATCTTTCCTGAAGCTAACCATATAATTACATTCAAGAATCGTGCTTTATATTGCTTTATAGAAGTCCAGTTTCAGAGCTCTACAACTTAATTTTAGTAGGTAGATTCCTTCATCAATTCTTCAAAAATTTGATATCATTGTGATGCTCTCATTGTCCTGGTTCTAGTCTCAACACTCATTTTTATCTGGAAACTTGTTTTGATCATGGAATTTTAAATTCCTTTTCAAAACTTTCCTTTCAAATTGCTTGAGCTACAATTTATATAAATTTGTCGCGTGGGTGTGGTTGTCTTCGTCTTGAAGAGATGAAGCGAATGACATAGGTCTGAGCTTCTGATTTTATAGTTTGAGAGACCTGCAATTTATGTTGGCTGGAGGTTAAAGATGACCAACGTGTCATCTTTCAATCAATGAAGGTGCGTCATCTGTTTTTTTTAAAATTTGATTTAATTAATGATCCTATGCTTTATTCACTAATGACCATGATATGCACAGCGTGCCAGATTCTTTGGATTTGATTACTGACGCATTTTGACTCTCATCCATTGGTCCATATTTTTTTGGTTTTTATTTCATTTTCTGATTTTTATATTTAATAGTTTTAAAGTTCAAAAAATTATAGAAAATTTATTTTTAGTCCAAAAAATCTGAAAAATTATGAAAAATTATTTTTAATTATTCTCCTTTTGATTTTTATTTTTTCACAATTTAATTTTGTGTTTTGGTATTTTTTATAAATTTTCACTTTATTTGAATTGTTTTAAATGTTTAAAAATACTTTTATACATTTTTAAATTCTGAAAAAATTATGGAATGATCCAATGATATTGTGACAAATATTAGTGACCTTATTTATTTTTTATTTATGACTTTTTTTTTATTATTTTTAGTTTATTTTACTCATTTCTTTAATTTTAAAAATAGTTTCCGACTTTTAAGAAATTACCAAAATTTTTATAAAATCACTTTAGTTTATTTCTGATTTTTCTATGGTCTTACTTTTATTTCTTGATTAAATTGAATATAATTGATATTTTTCTCTTTTATTTCTATTTTAAAACATTTTTATTTATTTTTAATGTATATATTAAATGCAATATATTTTTGTGATTATTTTCTGTCTGATCTTGGATTGAATTTTTGATCATGAACTTTGTTAACATGAATGGATCCATGGTGTTGAGTCTAACTCCATAAAAATGGATGAATGATTTTAATAATAGTTTGATTTAAATTTAATTTAAATGTAGTTTGTATATTCTCTTCCACTCCTCTTCATCTTGTCCCTTTCTTATTGCACTAAGTGTTATTGGAACATGATCTCTATATCATGTCTCAAAACAAATGGTGCATAGATTGCTATTGACCGGTCTCAAAATAGGTGCGACTACTACATAAGTCCATTTATGATTGCTTAACATAACGCTAAATTTTGTCTCGATTCAAATAAATGATTATTTGTGGCCCAAACCTATGTTTGCAATCCCAAGTATGTTAATTTGATCTCTTTAATCCAATAACCTTGAGATTCATTGTATGGAAGTTTTGGTTCTACCATTTCTCTAATGGATCTACAACATTTTTGGTTAACGCGGATCACTTAAACATTGTTGATCATTAAATGGTACTTTTGAGGATTCTAAATGAATGATATACTTGACAAAAAGTAAATGCAACTTGTTGTGTGGAGGCTTTGGTTCTACCAATCCTCTAATAAGTTCCAAATACAAGTTTCAAGATGGTCATCCAACTAACCATTAATTATTAAATTGTTTTTACTTTATGCCCTTTTATTTTTTATGCTTTATGCACCATTTACTTTTAGCATT